CCCTAAAACAAATACTCTTCAAATACACTGACAGAGACTTAAAATGCACTAAGCTAAAAAGCCATCTACAATCAGCATCAGTTATTTTGCTTCTCTGGACTTATGTTTAGCTCAGATCATTGTGGTTTCTATGAACATGTTTTTTTTTCACCTGTGCAAAACACTCACAGTGCTATGAAGACTGGACTCCCTTACTAGCCAGTTTGCAATGTTTTACACGTCAATGAAGCACCTGGTTTAAGGCCCCCACCGCTAATGGGATTGTGTCCACACACTGCAGAGGACAGCCAAGGTAGCCCAAAGAGGCCTAAGGCTTCTCTCTACTCCTCGGGCAGAACTCTCATCCATGGTCTCCTTGGAAGAGCAAGGTAGGCAGCCAGTGGGGCACAGACACTGCCAAAGGCTCGGGCCCCCAGCAAAAGCGTTTCTTCTGCAACACTCACGGAGTTTCTGAAGAGAAGCAGGGTCCTCGCTGCCAGGGCTGCCAGTCCCACTGGTGAGGGAGAGCAGCAGTGTAGCTGTGCCAGGCGGGAGGGAGGTGGCGGGCAGTGTTTGTCAGCTCTGTGCTCTGCACGCTTTCACAGCCACACGCTCATCACCGAGCAGCTGCCCCTGTGAGGACGGCGCTCGGGGCCCTGCAGCCCCCGGGCCCTGCAGCGACAGGCTGGGCTGTGACAGGTCCTGGGCAGTGTGCTCAGGGCCCTGCAGCACAGGCTGGGCTGTGACAGGTCCTGGGCAGTGTGCTCAGCGCCCTGCAGCACAGGCCGGGCTGTGACAGGCCCTGGGCAGTGTGCTCAGGGCCCTGCAGCGACAGGCCGGGCTGTGACAGGTCCTGGGCAGTGTGCTCAGGGCCCTGCAGCGCCAGCCCGGCCGGTGCCGGGCCCTGGGCAGTGTGCTCAGGGCCCTGCAGCACAGGCTGGGCTGTGACAGGTCCTGGGCAGTGTGCTCAGGGCCCTGCAGCACAGGCTGGGCTGTGACAGGTCCTGGGCAGTGTGCTCAGGGCCCTGCAGCACAGGCTGGGCTGTGACAGGTCCTGGGCAGTGTGCTCAGGGCCCTGCAGCACAGGCTGGGCTGTGACAGGTCCTGGGCAGTGTGCTCGGGCCCTGCAGTGACAGGCCGGGCTGTGACAGGTCCTGGGCAGTGTGCTCAGCGCCCTGCACCGCTCCCACCTCAGCTCCGGCCCCACTAACACCCTGAACGCTCCACTTGGCCTGCTCACACTTCTAGGACACAAGCAACACCAAGCTCTGCAAGTACAGCACCTTTCTTTTACTGATGCTCCTCATGTTACCTTTGATTTAGGACAAAGCAGCTAATTGCTAAAGAAAGCTGGGACAATATTGCCGTTGTATTTATAGAACAAAAAGTTCACCAATTGTTTTAAAATCCAAAGTCTGAAGTTACTTTCGATAATCTACACAATCATCTGAATGAGATGCTTGTTAGCCATATGCTACAACTGATATTCGCTTCTGAAAATATATTATTCAACTCTAACAGTGGTTTATTAACTCTGTATAAATAATTTTAAATGAAACTTTAATATAAAGCATGACTGAAACCCATTATGTATCACAGGTATCCTCTGTTACAAACAGACCTTTGCATCAGAGTTTAGAACAAAGTAAAACAAAAATTTGCATAATAGGTTTAAGCCTTTTTTAAATTAGAAAAAATGCACATTCACACTTTAAAAGAATTCCAGCTTCCTCCAATCTAAGTATCTCCTGGTGATCCATCTGGGAAGGTGCAGCCTACCCAGTATTTACCCTGTACTTCTGAAATGGGGACTACAGTGACAAATGCTGAATCACTATCAAGAAGAGAGGGGGGAAAAAGCAGATAGAAAAGCAAAAATATGTGTGTGCATTGCAGCCACTCAGGCTAACAGAAGGAATGAGTAGGGTCCCTCCAAAGCAAAGCTGATTTCTCCACATCTGGGACTATGTGGGAACTCTGCAGCTCTGGAGGGTGTAGGGAGAGCAGATCAGGCACAGGGCAGGCTGGCCTGTGGGCTGCAAACACTTCCAATTGTCAGGAAAAATAACCCAAAAGAGGTTAGAGCATGCAGTACAACAGGAAAATACATCTGAAGGTAACTGCCTCTGGCATGTAGCTAAGGAATGGCACAATGTCTTCAAATGCTGGTGAATGCAGCTCATGAGCAGTTGGGAATTCTCTCTAAAAAAAAAAAGGTAGAAAATTTTCTTCTATAGCTACAGTCTTCTTTTAACAGAGCAACACTTCTTCAGGAGGGGGGCACAGTTTCTGCCTGTTCGGTCTGGTTATTGACAGCCATGGCACAGCTGCCACAAATAGCCCAGAAACAGAAAGAATGTTTGAAGAGAATTCTAAAAGAAAACAGCAATTAGAAAATTATTCCAAGATATCCCAACAAAAAGATTCTAAGGAAACAGGCACAACTAAAAAGGGTCCTGTCAGTATTTCATACAACAGATATTTTAAAGTGAGCAATTCAGTAGAGGTAAATATTTATGGAAATATCTGAGTGTCCTGAGGATGACAATGAACACTCAGGTTTGGTATCCTAAACAGACAAGACTGACTAACTTTTCAAAACAATCCAACACACAAGTACAAGTATTCAATAATTCAGAATAATTACCTACATGCTGACCAGTTGTAAATCTCTTTCTTTTATGAGAAGATCTTAAAAACATACTATAGAAACAAATGCTATGAAAATGGGAAACAGCAAAATCTCATGGTAATTGGTTTTACATATGTACTGCTTTTTTCCTCATTCGGAACAGACATAACTCACTTAAAAACATGAGCTGGTGTGGTTTGCTGCTAATGTAATGTTTCTTAACTACAACTTTACACAGAAATGATTCTTAGAGTATCACACAGTACTACTACTCTAATGCCCTAAGAATTCTTAACTATTTCTGGTTTTCTTGAAGCTTTATCCTGCCAGTTTTCTCAGTCTCAGCAGTAAATACAATCAAGTATAATACTGAATTTCTTTTAACATGGTCTGGATTGTTTTAGCATAATTTGCAATCCCAGTTTTCTTTGGCAATTAGAACTTAAATGTAATAATCACAACAGCAAAGCAAAACAAGACACTGGTTACCAGTGTATGCAACAGGAGACATGGGATTTGGAAGGTGCTTACCTTAGGGACAGAAGTCACACGGAGCTTTAACAAATACCAACATTTCCTTTCATGAAGGAATGCAAGTTCAGTAAGATTCAGTGTATGCTCAGTATACAGCAAGGAATACAAAGTACAGGTCTGGATTCATGGAACAGCTAACATGGCAAAGACCCAAACTTTTTATACAGGGGACGTATTTTGAAACCTCCCATTCAGAAGAAAACCTAAAAATATGGTCAATTTTAAGTATGTGCTCAGCTCTACCAATTTGTAACACTGGAAAAAACTCACATGCTTTTTCTGAAAGCCAGGACACAGCAGCAGAAGTTTGTGCACCTTGTTTCTCAGGGGACTTTAGGCTTGGTTTCAGGGTTAATTAGGATTAACTGTATGCAACGGTGCCACCCATGTCAAGAATTAAAATTGGGCTACAGCAACCAAATAATCAGAAATGAAGACTCTTTGGCAAAGAGTCTTTGCTGTGCGGGCCAGAAAAGTGTAATTCCCTTATGAGGAAGGCAGAACTCCTGCTGTGCACCTTGAGGTGGCAGAGTCAGCAGCCCTGAAGGCAGTACTTTCACCTCTTATGCAAAATTAGCTCTTAAAATGAGCCATTGTTCACAAGGGTAACAACACCAAAGAGCTCCTGTTCTACCTTCTGCCAGCTGATGGTGGAGGGGTGCAAACCCAGAGCTGCATCCCAGAAAACTTCCTCATGTCATCCATCTACTTCAACAGTATCTGCAGTGTCTGCTTTGCAGAAATGCTTCTGTGAGCAAAGTTTTATTTTCAGAAGTATTGCAAACACTTACGTAAATATTTGGATCTCAGACTTGTGCAAATCTGTGCTAGGAGCTGCCATTCCTGCTGGAGGCATTTTCCAGCCATCTGGGAGCCTCCTGGGGGAGATGACTCACTCTAGGAGACTTGAAAAGAAGAGGAGCCAACAGTCTTCAAGAAAGGCTCAAGTAGTTACATTTGCAATAATTATCACTCAATAATGTTCAGAAGGAATAAGTAAATAATGATTAGGTTAGTGACTAGCTAAGGCAATAAAATGATGCATTACATTGGTTTTGGTGAGCAGTTTGAGTCTAAAATGATCCTAGATTTCCTAGTTGGTCATCAAATTCTTCATATCTAGTATTTTTTTAATATTTTATTTTTATTGTAATATTTCTCTGCATTTTAATATCAACTAAAATACTTCTGAAATTCAGGTGTGCAAAACTATACTGTGTGGGGACTTGGGGACATGGAGTCATATTGAAATTTCTTATAAAACCTCTTTAAAAACTCAGTGCAAATAAAAGTGGCTCAAATCTACTTTTTTTTTCAATGAAAATTTAGAAATAATTGGTAAGAACTTAAAATTAAAATTAAGATGACCAACAGCCCTCATGAATTCAGACCTTTCACTCTCATTTTTCCAGAATCATTCAATTTCAGACTGAAATATACAAACGTTAGTAGCAATGCAATATGCTGCCATGTTAAAAATGTGCAGTATGCAAAATCACTACCCTCTTGAAAAAAAAGGCTATGAAAAATTTAGGTTTTACTGAGGAAAAAATACTCTATAGCTATATCATTTCAAATGTCTGCAAGGCAGATACTACCCTACTACAACACCACATCTTCACTAGTATGACGTTCCCCTATCATTCTACTACCTGAGTGATGTCAGTGTAAATTCAGGCACCATTAGTAAATTTTTGACCAAACATATACACAGCACTGACAAAGGAGTAAACAACCCTTCAGCTTACCAGTACATGTAAAAAAGACACTGACAAAATGGAAAATAATATCTTTTTATGATAAATTATTCCTATTACTTCCTCATTGCCCCAGAAAAGCGAAGAGCTAGACACTATTTACTCATCAATCCTTTATTCCTTAAGGATTCCTTTTACTGCAATCCAACACTGTTTACTTTGTAAGTAAGAAAATGGTAAAACTAAGTAGTCATGGAAGAATCCTCAATGCCTGTGTCCCTTGCTGTCCCTCTCCCTGCGCTTTAACTCCTCTTTGTAGCAGTAGGAACAGTAATTTTCAGTCTCAGGACGACCATAAAAGGAACAGTTCTCCTTCTTACAGCGGTTCTGCTGGATGGAATATATTGGGCAAACTGTGCTTCTGCCTTGGTTTTTGTCGTTGTTCAGCCAGCTCTGAGGAGCGTCCTCGTCAGCGTACTCCAAGCAGTCTCTGATGTCCCCGGTGTTGAAGCCGTTTGTGTAGGTCTGGGACTTGTGTTCGGCCGGCCTGGCGTAGCTCAGCGACTCCACCGTGTTCACCGTGCGCATCCCGGGCAGCCGCGCGGGGCTGTAGCTCTGCGAGGACAGCGATCTGTTCTGCTGGGGGTAGGTGGCACAGGTCTTCAGGGTGCCAACCACTGGCTTGTAGGTATCATCCTGGAAGCTCGATGGCTTGGAGTTGACGTCATGCAAATGGATGACACTTTGCCTTTGAACGGGGGGGGTATGGCTATAGTGGGCAGACACCGGGATGGGGCCGCTTTTCTTGGCGCCGTTGCTGGGTGAAGAAAAGGACCCGGGAGTGGGACTAGTGCGGTCTTTAAATTTTAAAACCAGTTGGGTTGTATGGCTTTGAGGTAAGACGGGTGATGCCCTATCCTGAGGAGATGGTTCTAATTTTTCTTTTGAAAATGCCTCTGTCTCCAGTTTCCTACTGGAGGAGCCATTCAGCGCAGCCTTTTTCTCAGCTTCCTTTCTTTTCTGCTCCTGTTCGGCATTGAAGCGCTCCTGGGCACTGGTCAGGTAATAGCCGATCATCTCCTCGTGGAACTGATGCCTGTGACTGGTCAAAAGAAGGCCAGCAAAAATAAACTTTCGTTCACCTTGCATGGCAGCTCTCAAAATATTTAGGCTGAGTTTCACGTCTGTGCTGTACTTCCATGGGTCAGACTGCTTGTCAGAGAAGGGTTTAGTGTTCACCTTTTCAGTGGGGGAGCTGCTGGCTCTGTCAGTCGGAGATGGAGTGGTCTTTTCAGACGGAGACGTGCTCGCAGACTGTCCAGATTCCTCTTTGCTCCCCTTGCGAGACTTGGACTTCTTCTCTTTGACTTTCTCTACTGTGTCACCATTTTTTCCATTCCCTGAATTAGCTCTGCTCATCTTCCCGTGCACCAGACCTCCAAGACCACCCATGTTCTTTTTCAGCTTAATTCCCAGGGTTTTACTGAGGCTTCCTATTTTATTGGCAACTGAATCCGTCCTGGTTTTGTCTTTCTCTTTCCTTTGTTTGTCCTTTTCTTTTTCTTTACCGTTTTTGCCATTATTGCCATTGGAATTACTACAGATGGAATCTCTGTCTGAGTCCATGGAGTCAGCCAGAGACTGCACGTCTTCTCCAGCAGAAGCTGTAGGGGATTCTGGTTGAGCCAAAGGGGCCTGCTATGGAAAAGGAATTACAATTAGATACAGCAAAATCCACTCCATACAGGAGCTGGTGCAAAAATACCCACCCAAATTCAATACAAATTTTGACACTGATTTTAAATACATTTTTTAATTTATGCACTGACATTTTCCACTGGTTTCATCACTAAATAAAGCTTTTCTGGCTGTGCTTACTATGTATTTTGTTTGTTCCTACAGTAGCTTTTGGCTCATTTCAGGCACATTTGTAGAATAGAGGTCAGTCACTCAGATGCTCTGTGAAAGTCAGTGCCTGAGTCATGGGGGAAGCGAGTTCCCTCCTGCCCTGGTGAGCCAGGACAGGGAGCATCAGCAGTGCAGGCTGTCCCTCAGCCCATGGGAAAGGAGCTGGGGAGGATGTGATGGAGGGGGAATGAGCTGCTGCTGAAAGCTGCGAGGGGCATACAGCACACAAAGCTGTGTGCAGCAGTATTTCAAAATTGATTATGTTAAAAATCCACCTCATTTAAATTGACTTTTTATTTATTTAGGGCTCTGGTGCATGAAAACTAAAGGTTCAATGCACCACAGCTAAACATCTCATCTGAAATATCAGACATTAAACTCAAGCAAGGAATACAATGATGTGTATTCATGTTTATTGGAAAGGCAATGCAGATAAAACTGGTCATAAGTCTGAGATCTACTTTATATTTTAGGTAACATGATAAAACACCTTCCTTGAAAATGCAATAACATGGATCCTAGGGTAGTTTAAAACAGGACTTTTCATGTACTGCTGCATAACAGCCTTGCTTTCAAGCTAAAATCCACTAGAGATAAATCTGAAACATTTAACTGACTACAAGGACACGGGGAGGGGTAAGCTCTGTACATCTATATACTTCTGGTACAGAAATACCTGCCTACCATTGTCCCTGGGTACTTGTAGGTCCTCTCTCCCAGGAAGCCCTGAGCACCCCAACACTCAGCTGGGAGCAGAGGTGTTACTGCCACGGAGCAGAGGGGAAAGTGCTGCAGTGACCTGATCATGCTCATGAAGCAAATGTGAGCATTTGGGAGGTAACCCAGGTTCCACAAGGGCTCACCACTTATAACTGCAGGACCATTTTGACTCTACTTTTTCAGATGTGGTAGCTACTACTATAGAAACATGGATTTTTCCCCTCTTGCAGCTTGTTAAAATACTTTCTCCTTTTGTGTTCTGTTTCTCTGTTCAAGCCCCATCTGTTTAGGCTATCTAAATCACCTTCATCCTCTCCTAGCAACCTTTTGTTTCCAGCCCAACCCCTCCACCTATTCAATGCAATTTGCAGAGAAATTTCAGTACCAGCTGGGCAGGGTTCTAAAACAGCTCTCTGGAAGAGGCAAGCTCCAGTTCAGTGCCAGTCTGTGGCCTTTTGTCAACCACTCTAAACTGGGAGCTGTCCACAAGTGCAAATGCACTCTCAGAAAGAAATTGGTGACCTAACGGTGGCATCAGGAGAGCAAGACAAAGTTCTCAGAAAACAATGGTGAGAAAAGGTTTCTTTAAATTACACAAACGACTGAAATTTATACCAGAAAAAATAAGCTAGAAGACACATTTCAGCAAAAAATATACAAGCAACAGTGTTATTAAAACAAATAACCAGAAAAATCTGTAAGTCTGATTGGTGTCAGTGAGCCATGAGTGACTGTCCCTGCAGCCAGGACACTGAGGTGTTTGCAGGCAGCCTGTCCTACTGTGCCTTGTACCTCCCATGCTGTGGGACCAAGGGGAAAGTTTACCTTACCCGTGTCTCAGAGGGGATGCGGATCCAGGTTACATTCATGTAGCTGTGCAGAAGATTAAGCTTTGCCTCAAGAGACAGAATCAAACTAAAGATAAAAAAGAAGGGAACAAGCAGTCAAAAAGCTTGAAAGAAAAAGCAATACTTCATAACAGGAGGAGATGTAACAGCAGCCTGACAGTGACTGTCAGCTGAAGAACCGCCCCATGTCTTCTGCCATGTAAGCAGAGCACAGGAACCAAGCCCTCACTGTTTGCAGTTCTCCCAGTACTGCAACCAGGTACAGCTCAAGGCATTTTACTGCTTAACACCAAAGTTACAGAAAGGTCTTACTTGGCCAGTCTGGTGTTATCATTGTCATCTTTTCCCCACTCCCAGTCTTTCCCAGGATCGACCGCAAAGTGCAAAGGCAGTAACTTGTGTTCAGAGTCAGTCAGGGGGATCACCGCTGAAGCAGAGAAGAAACAAGGATTGGGGTGGGGAAAAAAAAAAAAGACAAAAAGAAGAAAAGACTCAGCTGTGAAAAGCAGAATCACTGCTTCAAGAAGAGCAGAATTTGTGCTGCAGAACTGCCTCATCCAGAGCACCACACATGATTTATATTGGGCTCCATTTGCCTGTTTTCATGTTTGTGCAATAAAAGAGGGAGAGGTTAATACACTGATTGCTCCTGGAGTGAATGATAGTCACCTGTGGAGGAGGGGAGACCTCTGGAGAGAGCACATGGCCATTTGTACTGTAGAATCAACATTTCCTGGAGACAGAGCCATTAGAATAGCAGAAAGCAATAAAATGTTGCAATATTCCTGCCTATCTCTCAGAATCAGATTCATATGTTTGTTAATTATTTTGTCTTTTTAGTTTAGTACCTTTGTACTGTCAAAGAAATAAAAATATATTGATATCAACATTAAGAAAGAAAGCAAGAGGAAGCTACAGTGATTTTGGATTCACACTAGATTAACATAATTGAAGAGCAGAGATCAACATGTATATGGGTTAAGAGGTCAGTCTGAGGCCACTGAGTGAGTGCAGTGCAAAGGCCATTATTGTTCTTACAGCCCAGCACTGCCCAGCAGTTTTGCTCTTCTGCTCTTTCCCCTCTCTGCTCAGGCTCTGCCCTAATGGCTCTGCCTCTTCTTTATACTCAGAATGCAGGGACCACACTCAGATGTCACAGAGTGTCTATCATTCATCACCAGCACGAGACTAAGACATAAAGCAATGTCAGTTTTAATTAAAGCCACTGATTCGCTTCCATTTGATTAAATTCGCATTCCATTTAAACAAGTAAAAGCTGTTGAGGGCCTGGGTAGGATCCTCAGCATGGTGTTCCTCTGACAGCTAATCAAGGCATTTACCTTTGCGCACTAGAGCTCTTCAGGATTTGCCCTGAGTGTTCATTCCAGACAATCCAAGGGCACAGAAAGCTGGAGAAGCCACCCAAACATCGTGGCGCTCAGTTACTGACACCTGGCTTCCCCTGGTTCTGTGCTGTTTGTAACCCCTCCTGCGGTGCAGCGAACGCGCTGTGGGGCGGACGCGCAGCACTCCGCTCCCCCGCCGCTCCCGGGCCCCGGGGCCGCTGGCGGAGCCGCCCAGCGGGGCCCAAATCCGCGGGGCGCCGCCCCCTGCCGGCCGCGCCGGGAAGCGCCGCGCCCTGCCCCGCAGAGCCGGCCCGGGCAGCGCCGCTCCCGAGGGACGGACGCGGCGGGACTGGAGCGGGAAAACTCCGGGGCGCACGCGGGGCGCCCACGTCTGCAGTTCAGAATGCACTGCACTGCGGCGTCCTGGGGAAGCGGAACAGCACAAACGTACAGCTGCTGTGACAGAGGAATGCACTTCTAACACTTCCTGGTGTAATATGAGGGCTTAGCCTAATGCATTCAGTGAAATTATTGCAACAAAGAGGCTGGAATAACTGAGAAAACAATTAACTGAACGTGTTTCACAAGGAAAATGCATATTCTGCGAATTAACTGAGTTACCGGCAGGCACTGGCTGGACTGACATCTGACCTCAACCATTTAAAGGAAGAAGGCACCTTAGGAAAGAGTGATGTTTTAAGTTTACAACACAGCAGTTCCCTTCTGGTAGCGCCTGGTTTTACGGGTACAGTGCTAAAAAACTGTGAATGTAATCCTAGGACAGGTGGTGATGGAAAGCTTGGAGCAAAGAACCACCAGAGAGTTGAAGCAGTCTCTTTTTGGGATAGAAACTTCAAAGAGTAAATGTGACTTTCTTCTCTATGGGCAGCTTGAAACTAACTAAATTTCACATAGTTAAATAAGCATTTTGGTTTATAAACAGATTTTAAAAGAATCCTTTTTAAACCTTGCTATTTCTACTGATACTGAAAATACCTATTAAAAATGCTTAGAGACACTCCATTTTATTAAAATACAAAGTTAAGTGCAAAACAAAGCTTAGAGCTGATTGTCTGTAGCACGTCACTGTTGTCTTAACTCCTGTGCACATTCTGAGTGTCAGAAATGTGTTCACTGAGTTGAGTGCTTGACTGTATCCCCATTCTAAGGTATAGTCTGAGGCTGGTGTGAAGCATTGCTGTTTTCATGGTAAACAAACCTGCTAAAGTGAGGGACTTTGAAAATTCTGTCTTCACTGCAAGAGATTTTCTCTCTCTGGGAATTTTGTTGGATAGTTGGGGTTTAATGTAAGATTTCCCCAAGTTCCTGATAGAACAGTATTTTTTTGTCACAGCTGAAAGCAGAGTCCATCCCATTCATTTCTAAAGCAAACCCCATAGACTGCAGCACCTCCCTGACACCCAGCAGGATCTGCAGCTGTGGTTGGTGTTGGCCCCACGTGGCTGTGGCTCTCTAGCTGGAACTACACTCCTCCAAGCACAGCCTACCAGCCCTAATTCCAGCAGATGGGATAAGTGACAAGCAACAGCCGCTGGCTGGTCCACAGCAGTGTGACACACACAGTGAGGACTCTGCTGCCATTCCCTAGCTGGGTGTGCTGCTGCCTTCTGTGCTGTGAAGGAAGTCACAGCACTTCCCAGCTCTCATCCTCATGCCTCAAGTGCCACTATTCATCTAAAAAGAACAACACTTTAACTCTTTCTGAACATGACAGCACAATAAAATGCTGACACAGAAACTGACATGGTGCTGTTCCAGACCACTGCCACACCTCTCACAGTGTTACTCGGACTGAGCATGGCAGCATGGAAAGCTCCAGTGCCAAGGGAGCCATCTCAGGGACAGTTGAGACCTAGCCTGTGTTTTCCATAAACAAAGTCACCAAAGATCTGCATCAGTACAGCTTGCATTAATATAAAAGTATTTACCCGATTTTAATCAGACACTGGATTTCAAAGAGGGCCCCTGGCAACCATCAGAATGCCAGGGGCTGTGTGCTGTGTGTAATAAGAAGTGTCAAAATGTGTCTGAAATCCTCTCCAGACAAGGGGATATTGGTATGTTTTCTCTATACCTATTTATAGTAGTGTTTTAAATGTTCTGATACAGGACTCTATGCCAAAGCAGAACTTCAAGCATTCACATCAGTATTTATTTGACCACACATACTTCTCAAATGCAGACATAACTGTCTCCTCCACTACAGAGCTCAGCAGCTGCTTGTGTGTGTGTATGTACCTGCAGTAGTTCAGACACCTTCAGATGCTGCTCCTGACATTTGGTTAGAGCATAAATACTACAAGTTATGAATGGCCTGGCTCTCCAGGATGCTATTTTTAAGAAGGTGCAGCTCTAAGCTGCATTCTGATAGCTCAAAATCTGCCCACGTGCTGAGGCCCCTGTGCCATTGCTGCTGACACTTGACAGCTGTGGCTCTCTCTCCCCTGCCACGTGCCAAAGCTGCCAGAGCTGCTCTGCTGACAAGGTGCAAGCCCCAGGCACTCCTGGAGCATCCCTGTGCCCATTTCCCTCCTATCACATGGAGGACAAGGGCAATGCTGTGGTTGCTGCTGGACTGCTGTCGTCTCCAACAGCAAGTGGCTTGGCAGCTACAGCTACAGCATTCCCTTCATCCCAAAATAAATGCCAAATGCTCTTTGCTGCTCTACACAACTGAAGCCTGTGCATTCAAGGCCCTGAAGTAAGAGAGGTACAAGCAGGTCACACAAAACAAACACCACTTTGATTCACCAACTCTTGTAATTAACCTGGATGAACTTGTACATGAAAGTCACCATTTAATGTTTCTGATGCTGTCCTGGATATCTGGGACAGGGTTCTCTCCAGGCACCTTTCCTGTGGGAGTACAGGTATAGGAAGATCCTACAGAAAAGCAGTTACCAACCTCAAGAAGGACATTTAATGTTATTCTAACATTACTGCTCTTGTAAGACCTGGGGTACTGAAGGCAGAGAGATGTGCCTGAGATAAATGAGGCCTCTGTCTGTTGATGTTATTCCAATTGTTAGAAAGGAAGAAATGGACTGTGCCATTGTCTTGTGATTAAACCACTCAGATTCCTAAACATGCAGCAATAAAACTTAGTGAGTATTGCTTCCTTTCTGACAGATAAATACATCTACAGGTAGAAGAAAATACTGTGTGCACTGTATTCAATATATATACCAGTGCTGCTGTGTTTAAAGCATACCTTGTTCTCTCTGTTGGTCTTTTTGTTCCATGGAGACGAGAGCAGAGAAATGGGCCTGGTCATAGGCCAGCACAAGAGGTGAGCAATGGCATCTGTTTGGCAGAACTTCAAGTGGCAAATAAATTCCTCCAAATGGTATCGGTGCAAATGCTGCAGAGAAAAAGGAGATTTTTACAACTATATGAAAGAACAGACAAGAGGTGTTTAAACAATTGTGCTGCAATATTATCAGAGCTCCAGGAGAGCAGCTTAAAGTGGGGTAATCAGTGCAGAAAACAGTCACAACAACAGGTAGAATTTCATTATAAAACGTCAGGAAATACACAAAGAAGAAATATACATAAGGAAGATCTTCCACTCTTACATAATTTTTCTTGCTCTAATTGTTTATTGGTAAAGATATTATGGTCTTGTAACAAAATCTTGATGATCTCATGCATGTAGGCAGAGTTGTACCTTCCTGTAATGCTTCTAGGCATAATCATTTTCTAATAACCATCAGTAAATACACTGTCAGGCCTTTCAATAACATGCTCTGCTTGTGCCTTCCATTAACAGTTTTCCATAGGAAACAATACAAACAGGTTTACAGTCCACACATTTTATATATCTGAATGTACATACACATGTATATATGATAAAGTTAAGGAAAGACTAAAAAAAATCCTACAAGTAGAATTTGAATGGGATGCTCCATCTGGAGGGGCTAAATTTTCCTTTGAAAGATTCTTGTTTATACATATAATCATGGGAAACAGCAAGTTTGGGCAGGAAAACTCTCTCACTGTTTTTGCTTCCAACCATTTATTTTTCCTTTTGCTATAAAAATATGAGACTTTATTGCTGAAATATTTGCAATATGAGTTCCCCTCGTGAACTCCTCATTCTGGCTGTGACCAATCACTGCACTGTCTTTCAAGCGTGTTTCTCAAAAACTTACAGAATAATCTACAACCATTACTTCTAGTTCATAATTTGCAATGGAAACTGAAATTATGCAGTATTTTCCTGTGGAAGTAAATTTCTGTAAACTCCATCCCTCCTTAACATCCTCTTTTAATCAGCCAAACATCCCCCTTTAATTAAGTAACACCCTATCATGAATTAGAATTCTGTTAGTTCCTGTTAGAAAGTGAGCTGAATTTAATGCTCTGAGTCCTGATCTGACAGGGTCGAGCTGGCTCCACATAAGGACCTAACATTTCTGTGCTCACACAGGCAAACTGAATAAAACATTCTGGACTTGAATGAGAGGCTGCAAAGGAGTCACTAAAAACAAAAATCTGAGATACACCCATTTAAAATTCAATTTTTCAAAGTCGGATTAGATTGATTTCTGCTGAGTTTTAAGGAGCACCTAAATAACATGGCAAAATTAGACCTTTATTCACTTAGACCAGTCAGAAATGTATTGTGTTCTGTAATTTGGTGGTTATTTAAGTAAATAGGGAATATCTAGGATAAAGAGGTTTTCAGCAAGCATTGTATAATTATCCTGTATTTTTTTATTTTTATCTAATAGAAATGGATTGAGTATCATTCTGTGTTTTCTGGTTTTTTTTTCCTTTCAGAAAAAGGCAGCAGCTCTGCCATGAACACATACATATTACAGCTGGTATATTACAGCTGGGTCTTTTGCTGGTATCAGTTTACAATGGATTCAATTTACAGAGGCACATGGATCTCTAATTAAAGCTCTTACCTTCTCCCCCTGAGTCTCGTAACATCGTGTCTGCTACTACAACAATCGGTCTTCTCAAGATATGGGCTAAGACAAAAACATGGAATTCTTCCAAGCTCTCATAAACTGGATCTTCTGCATTGTCCACCCTGGAAGACACAGCATTGAGACTTTATGAACCAGCTTGAACCAACCATGAGACTTTGGTGGATCAGCACCAAAGCTGTTTCTTCTTCACTGTCCCTTATATCCCCACTCCTCTGAAACCCATATTTCAATCACTGAAGTAGGTAAAAAGAAATGGAAAGGAAAATGCACTTTTGTAAATAAAATAATAGCAGCATTTAAAAAAAAAAAAGTTTTCCAACTAGTATCACTGTGCTTTAGATCAGCCCCACAATCTTCCAGGAGATGGAAATGCCCAGCACCTTTAGAAGCCAACCTAGAATGTCAATTTTCTACCAAAGAGGTCATTCTTTTATCTGGACTGCAAGAATAAATCTGGTAGCCCCCACTTCTCTAGCTGACCATTTCCAAGCAGTTCTATGACTGCATAAACAATTTAATGAATTTTTTGTTTCAGTTATTCCCTTTCCGTTTTCCCAGTTTAATGTCATTAATGTCAGTACCACATTTCAAAGCTTTGCCTCTGCCTGGAAAACAAAAACAAACTAGATGGAAAAAGACTGAAAAATGGGAGGGTTGTGGGAAGCAGACAAAAATGAAGATGATAATTCACTGCTCAGTGCCACTTAAGACTATAGTACACCCAGAGCCCAGCTTTTGTGAGCCCTGACAAATGAAGGTGGGCAAGGTGACACAGGAACACTCTTAAACGGAGGCAGCTCCTGTCCTCTTCCTGCCAGCTGTGCAGGGAACCTCCAAAACTGACTGCTGTTAATTTTCAGTAACAGAGCAGAAGTGCCTGGCCACTGCTCCAGAGTGTGTGGGACAAACACAGCACAGAGGTCTCACAGCATCCAGCCCTTCCCTGGAACATCACTTTAAAATCCTTCATCCCAGTCTAGGAGCACAGCAGGGTGGAAATGATCCTGGGGCAGGACATTCACTGGTGAAGCAGTGATACCTCTCCTTCCCTGCATCCCTCCTCCTGCTACCCACACTCATCAGGAAATTTTTCCTGAAGTTCAAACCAAACTCCCCATTTTGCAATTTCTTCCCCTGTTCCTTACTGAACTCTTCTCCACAGCTGGCTGAAACAGCTTTTCAGCATTTGCAGTCCATTCTGTCATCTGAGAGTAATCGCTCAGCCAAAAGCAACTCAGGGGAATCATGTTATTGGCAAGACAATATGCCAGAAAGATTTCCAGCTATCTTCTCACATTAGTATTTCCAGCCTATCAGTCCTAATTTTTTTAGTTCAAATCCTCTAATTATTCCTCATCTCCTAGTTAATGAGGTTTCTAGAAGTGAAAGGCATATTCCAGATACAGCTGTTATCAGAGAGATCTCTATCCCTTTGATCAGCTCATGCCATGCCCGACTGCACAAACTTCAAAATTCCACTGGGCTTTTTTCCTCTTCAGTATCACATCCCCATGTTGCTTGATTCACTATCTCTGATCATATTCACACATTTCAAACCCTTCTCTGCTATTACACATTCCACTGCTCACTGCCACAGGATCAGAGTGGCTGAGGTCATAAGGGAGCTCTAGGGAACCCCTTATTCAGCCCCTGCTCCATCAGGGCCACCCAAAGCCCTGGATTGTGTCCAGACAGCCTTTGGGTACCTCCAAGGAGAGAGAGTTCACAGCCTCTCTGGGAAACCTCTTCAATGCTCAATTTTCTACCATCACTGCCACTTGTTCACGTGGCCTGTTTCATATTATTTCAGTGCCACTTGCTGAGGATTCAGTATGAATTTTCCTAAAGATTAATGAGAAAGATAAATCATCATTAACAAGTATCCATAGCAACCTGCCACATCCTTTGATCCAATGATCATTCCACTTTTTTTTCAGAGATCTTTTATGTATGCTGGCTACGTGACCATGAAAATTGTGGACAGAATAATTTTGTCAATAAAACATAGAACCAAAGAAAACTTAAGAAACTGAAATTCCTCTGTTCAGGTAAAGCTAACTTTAAATAATGAAATCCACTTATATCAGAGTATGTAAATCTGCATTGCAGAATCTTGCTCAACCAGAGCACTCTGACTAAATAAATTATCTTTATTCTAAGAGCAAATTACTAATAAAAAGAAAAACAAATAAAAATCTCAGTCTGACCTACAGGACCACTGGTATGTCCAGTCCAAACACAGCAGGCACGGTCTCAGCACCCCAAAGAGATTCCCTCTCTTATGGAAAATCCAATTTGTACTGCAGTCAGGAATGAAAGCAAACCTCTTTCAAAAAGCTGGAAGGGAAAAGTCACCTACCCTGCTGTTCTACCTGGCTGGCTGCTGCTCTTTCACCTGTAAATTCTGAGCAATTCTGTTCTCATGTCCTTGGATTTCCTTCTAACAGCTCCCTATGGTAACATTGCTTTTTTTCCCTACATACAGCTCCAGATTTTAAGTCCAACAAACTCTAACAGCTCTTCTGAGTTTAGGACTCATTTTGGGATTCACACAGAGCAAGAGACCAATGCCCTCAGACAGCTGGGACACACTGAAATAACATGACAGGGATAAAGTTCTTCAACCTGGTGATTTGCCAGAAGCAGAACAGAATGACAGGTGAGTTCAGGGCTCAGTTTGCCTCCATTCAATTTCTGACACTTTTCTTTTCCTGCTTAACAATCCCCAAATGAAAACCAGCAGAAGCCACAGCTGCAGCTGTAGGTGTAGGAACCTCTCCTTTGATTTCCTTACAGTGTTTGTCAGCAACGGGCTTCAATTCAAACACAGGAAATTGCACAGTAGTGGAACATTCTCTGTCATTCTTCAGGGGAAAAAAAGGTATATTGAATTGACTAAAGGAAAGGAAACACAGAATGTGAATGCTTTGGGTTCCATATTTGAATCACCACAGCAATTTGGCTGTGCTTGGCTTCAGTACTTTATGTGAACTGAAAACAGGCCAGATAAAAAGAGGTATTAGCCTTTAGAAACTACAGCTAATAATCAATAAATGTTATAATGAACCATTTCTATGTGCACCCTACAATTGCTGCACATACTGAACAGTTTAAAAGAAATAGCACTCTTGTAACAGACACCAGATGAAACAAAAATCATTTTAGGGCAGTATCTTGTTAAGTGGTCTAAACTACCTTCTGTATAAGGTGAGGGTCTTGCATGGCTGCAGGAGTTGTGTATGAAGAGCTGTTTGTTGAAGCACTCTGAATACCAAGCCAAGTCCAAAACCTCAGAGGACACTTGTACTTGAGAGGTACTTCCTGTTTAAATGTTCTGGGTTTCTGCCTCGAACTCAATTCCAGTGATCTACAGGAAGATTCCGGCAGTATTCCCTCCCCTTCTTCCCCATTTTAAGACCCTTTAACTTATTAATAAGATAATACCAACAGCACAGACACAGCTGGGAGGTGACAGTAAGGACAAATACCATCCACTTCCAGGGTCTGTATGAGCTCCAACCACAACAGCACCTGGGTTTTCAACAGTGAATAACAACAGTGATATTCACTCTCACATGAGAACAGGCTCTGACTGACAATTGCTCGGTGAAGGAAGGGGATGAAATTTTCTTTTGAGCAGGATGGCAATAGTTAGGTTCTTAACAAAAAAACAGGGTACCAGACATTTTCCTTTTTTTCACTGCAGTTCCTTCAATTCAGTGCCCCTGCTTTTGCTTGTAAATGGAGATAAATGAAGCAATTATGTTAATCTACAATTCATTTTTTACATTTACAGGAAGATGTGCAAATCTGTTTCAAAACAAGAATCTGCTTGCTCTGCTTTACATGCTGGAAACAAGAACTTAAGAACCAGGTTTTTCTGTGTTTCCTTTTTCCCTTTTTCCAATTTCCCAGCCTCAGAATGCGAGTGTCTCAAAGGAGAACTCTTTGGAAATTTAGCAACAATTGCTGATCTCCTTTGCACGTAGCTCACTGAAAAATAACTGAAAGAAAGTTGCAGGTGAATGAGGCAGCACAATTCCAGCCTTACATTTGACACTGAATTCTTTTGAAGCAGATACAACTTCTGATGCTTTAGCTAATTCTGACACCAAAGGAAAACGTCTCATCTACAGTTCAAAGACTGATGTGCAAGCTTGCTTAATATAGCAACTAACTAGAGGACATAATATACCCCATCTTAAAAATACTATTTTGATATTCCTTTTCCTTGTCAAGGGCCCTACTTTGAACATGGGCTCATTAAACTGAAAAAATAATTCATTCTGCCACATTCATTCTGTCTTTGGAATGAATGTAAAGAGAAGTATACATTCAGATCTTTAATAGGATAAGGATTTCTTGCCTGATCTATGTTTCACTATTTCAAATGAAAAATTAACTGTTGGCTATTTGTATTTACTTTATTTTGATTGAAAAAAAGATAAATGCAAACCATGAAGAGAAGGTTATTTATGTGCTACCTATACTCCTCGTGTAGGTACCTGGGAACTGAAGGTTGACTGCCTGGCAAACATAACATTTGAGGGCATCTCTGACTAAAAGGCACTGAAAATATGTGGTACATGGAACATACAGAATGAAACAGAACAAGTCAGAGAAAATTTGGGCTGAATGACGAGATTTAATAGAAATATGAACTGAACTGCATTAGAAAACTGAAATGTATCAACAGGAAAATATCTACAAACATAAGAAACAAACTAGAGATTAAAATGGAAATACTTTTTTTTTTCACTTCAGAATAGAAGAAAATGAGACACACTGTGGCTGATAATTTTCAAAGCAAAGTTCTCCTGAATTCCTAGAATTACCTATCCTTAACATCACAAGGTTAAAGGGAAAATAAAATATTCTTTCAGAGCCCAAAGAGTATTTTCTACAAACTTTGTTACTCACATTGTGCTGTATGCTTTGTGTTGTCAATTTATTTATCACCACACATTATTTCTCCAAGGGAAACAATAGGTAGAGAAAATTATGCACTGAGCAAATACTAAATATTTTTAGTGATAAACACTAGACACAAAAACTAAAGCTTCTGCATTCTGAAGGCTGGTCAATAATCCTGTCCTTTGGGGATAACTGCACTGAAAGCAAGGGATGGTTTATAACAGTGGCTATTTAAAGCAGATTCTATATGTGGGTCAGGGGTATTTAAATGTTGTAGATGCTGTTTCATCCCAAATCTTTTCACAAATATATTCCTGAAAAAAAGCTAAATGATACTGCCAACATGCTTTTTCCACAAGAAAAACAATTAGGATTTATTACATGCAGACTCTTTTGGAAAAAAAGTAACCTCAAGTTATTTAAAGATCCCAAATAATGGGATATTTATATAAATCTGCTGTGTCAAAACAGTACAACAGCTGCAAAGGCAGTTTGGTGGTGCTATGAACACCTCCACCCAGTTGTGCTGTTTTCCTACCGAGAGCAAGCCTGGGGTTGTCACGGTGTGAACTTACCCCCCAGCAGTGCCCCCGTTCTTGCTGAAGTGCGTGCGCGGCTCGCTCGACGCCAGCTTGAGCAGCTCGTTCCACTCGCGCTCCCACTCCTCCTCCGTGTATACCAAACCTGACTATGGGGCACAAGGAAATGCTGTCACCTCTCTGCTGACTCACAGCGCAAGCAGAGCTCTGTACCAGCGCTCACAACTCACCTGAGCTTCACACATGACTCAGTTCAGTATCGTGGACCATTAATAGTTCAACATTTCTACTCAGGTGAAAGAATATTAATTTATTTTAAAGATCTAAAATACCAACTGCAGAGTTAGCACATTCACTTGTTTGCCTTCAGGATTACTCCTGAAATTGGCTTTTCTAGCCACTGCTTAGGCACAGACATCTTCAGGAAATAGTTACATGCTGAAGGTACAGCTTTTAATCAAAAATCAAATCAAATTTACAGATGATTTTTAGTTACAACACTTCCATTCAATATTTGACCACAGCTCTAAAAATTCTACTTCAAGATTCTGGGAAATCTTTCCTAAATGGGGTTCTCTCTCTCTTTTGTGAATTTCATCCACTCACTTAAATGCTTTTGATAGCTAAATTACACATTTATTTTTCTACATGTTCCAAATGCACCTTAGATCTTTTAGGCACAAAACTCTGCATAGTTATACCCACAAAGCTACAAACACATTTGCATTCTGGTATGAAAATTTCAAATACAAGTATCTCTTTCCCCAAACAAAATGGCAGCACAAGGAATTTGATAGCAATTAAAACTTTCACAGCAAACTTCAGAAGAATGCTTGTAACCCTAAATGATATTAACAAGGCTGTCTTTGGGCCATACAGACCTCCTTATTCTGCTGAGTCTGTTGCCATCTCCATCTTCTTTTCAGTGCTTCCCTTTCAGCTCCACTTCTCATCATAGTATAGAGGGCTTTCCGTAACACAAGGTCCCGATCGTGAAATCCCCACATCCCTAAGGCAGCACAAGACATCCAGTTTTAAAGAAGCTACAGTGAAAGAGAAATACATAACTGAAGATTCTCCCTGGCTAATAATTCCCCCCCTATTTTTAAGATTTCCAAAAGAGTAATCGCAAATAAACTAATGAGCAACACGAGTTCTAACACATTTTAAACTTTGATTAGGAACAACCAAGGATATGAGCTGGTTCAGTGTTTGGCTTGCAGGCAACTCCAGCTTTGCTGCAAACCATGGAATATTCAGTGCTCAGGTTGGTTTTAGCTGCAGTTGCCAGCAGGCACAAGGATGTTAATGAGCACTGCAGGCACCCCTTGGAATCACAGACGGTGCCGGCCCCCAAAGGCTCTGGCTCTTACACAGCAGGAAATTTCCTCTGGTTTCAAAATGAAGAGAAAAGCATTCAAGATGATAGAAAGTCTAAAAATACCACCAGCCACAGGCTTTCAAGTTCATTTTATATAATGAAACATCTTTATATGGTTGGGGATAGTAACCTACACCAAAAGAAAGCAGAGCTGTCCCCAGTCCTGGGCCTACAGACAGCCATGTTTCAGTCACTACATTGTCAGCTGCTGAGTTCAGGTCAAAATACTCCAAACATTTACAGTAATTAACATACAAAATTAAGTAAAGATAAAAGGATACTTGGAAACAGCAAAAACTTTTTCCTTACTACATCTTTCAACGAGAGGAGTCTCTTCAAAATATTAAAAAACCCCGTGTTTTAAAAAAAAAATTCACTCTTTGGAGTACTTCTGGTGGAAGATTTTAGCAGTTGCAAAAAATCTAACTTTCCTCATAAATAGGTTAGGATGTAGAAAGCACAAAGACCTTCAGCTCCACAGCTTTCTAATGATTTGCAGAAAGGCTTAAAAAATCTTGTGTAAACAATTAATTAATCAATTGGAAATTATTTCAATTCACCCCAAATGCTGTTTCACATATGCTTAAACTCTACAAGGAACTAACAGAGATTGACAGTGCATTCTTGAAACAGCACAAAACTGTTTCTAGAAAATCAAGAGAATTAATTAATTCCCTTGCACATAATGAGGACAATCCAACAGAAGCACCTGGAATTTGTCTGTTCCAGACCTGTTACGCTAGGAACACAAAAAATATAAGGAAAATACAGATCCCTGGTGTTTGTGATACATGGGTTTGGATACTGTTCCAGTTATACTTTTATATCCTGAGAAACCTTTTCCTTTCCTGCTTTAGGGAAACAACACTACAGTGAAATGTGAAGAGCAGTGAATATTTCTGGCAGGAGGCTTCCTGCCCAGACTGCCCCTTACCTAGAGAGGCAGCATGCAGGAGGCAGTTTCCATCACCCGTTGTGGCCAGGGGCAGCAGGCGCTTGCAGCTGGTGCACACCGTGGACCACCAATTGAGGCGTCCTGGAAGGGAAACACTGGTTACAGGGGGAGAGGAACCAGGAACAGGAGCAGTGCTCTGGGCAGGTAAACACAGAGCAGCAGGGGGAACCATGAGCACCCTCTTTACCAAATAAGCTTAAATGTAATGCTAGAAGTCAAAACTGAGAAGATTAGAAATGACGCAGATAAACTGTTCTCTATATGGATCTAGAAAAGAAAAGAGCACCTTTAATTAATTAGCATCTTCCAGTCTCATATGCTGCATCCAGTGATGGATTTCCAAGGTATTGCCTTAATACCATTATGAGTCTTGCTGTCAGTTCCCAAACATAATTGACATTGGCCTCCCACATGCACATGACAGATTACATTAAGGTAATAAGGAATTTTTCTTTTGTCTACAGACAAAAGCAATATGTATGTGGTAATCAAGATATGTTACTATAAAGGTAAGTTTATTAAGTAAATTATTTCAATCAGATGGATTGCTTCAACAGCTGATTCTCCTTTCATTTCCCATAGTGTAAATCATTATTAGATCTACTAAAACCAACAGCTACGCTACCAGAGAATTAAAATGACACCAAAGCATAGCCTGAGGTGCAGTATAGAATGTGGCCTTTCTCTTTTGGGAGTACTTACAGAATCACTTATCCATCATTGTTATGTGAAACATGTTTTACAGATTGTAAACCAGAGATGGGTTCTGGAAAAGCCTGGCAAAAGGACACCTATTCAATGAAGAAATAAGTCATAAAGACTATCACTGCCCAAGCCCACACTAAAAGCAGGTAATTCCTGGCACACGGGTTGCCATGTGGTAGCAAACTGGAGTGTTAAGTCTTGGTTAAAAGGTCATGGGAGCACTTCTAATAGAAAGAAAGCAAATGGGAGTAATTGTGTAGCATCTCTGGGGATGAGGAAGAGCAGATGATTAACATGGATGAGTAGAGCTGGTACATTTCCCAAGACTTGCAGGTCTGTGGGTAATGCACAAGTGAATAATTGAATGAATAATGCAATAGGCAGACTTTTTCTCCCCCAGTTTCTTGACTGGGAAGCTGGGAATAAATAGCATCTATATATATATATGTACAGGCAGTCTTGCACTTAAGGTTAAACCCCAAAACAGGAGGAAGTTCAAACAACAAATAAACGCCTCTCCATTAATAAGTTTTCATTACAAAATCATAGTGAAGTTTATTTGTAACTACAGATAATACACATTAGGGAAAAAATAGTGTAGCAGTATTTATTATGCACCCCAGTTATTTGTTCTGGGTACTAAGAAAAATGAAATTAAATTGCAATTGGTCCAAATGGGTTAAGAGTGCCACACTGTAAAGATGCATAGCAGATCAATAAGCACATCTTGTAATCCTCAAATTATTTTAGCAGCTGGTTTGTAAATGCACTACACCTCAGTCTAAGCTTACTGAGTCCTAAATTAAATACGCAATAAGGAAGCTTAATTTAAAGCACTATTAGACAGCCTTTGGAAAGAACAAGGTAATTTTTAGCAACTCCTGCATCTCTGAAATAACAACTTGCCACCTGTTTTAGCAGAATAGTTTTGGTGGGATCATATTCAGCAATAAATTGCACCAAGGTGCTGTGTGTAAAGCCTAGTTAGAATACCTAAAAACAGACAGATCTTAGGTGGGACTTCAGGAAATAATGAGTGGCATTGCCTTGCAGATTAACTAACATCTATTGCAAAGAAATGTCAAAGTCTGGTGTTTATGAATCTTTTGAGTAACAGGAGGTTTTTATAAAAGTGATCTTCCGTCAAGTGCATCCTGCAAAAAGCGTTTGGGGCTTGGTTAACATCACAAAGCTTATGGCTGGTTGAAAAAATAGCAGGTATGGGTTTATTATTGGATTATAACAAAAAAGTGGTGCATTTTCATTTTTCAAATCTAGTAGTCATAGTGGGTCCTTTTAGGGAAAAAATTGGTTAACATCACAAAGCTTATGGCTGGTTGAAAAAATAGCAGGTATGGGTTTATTATTGGATTATAAGAAAAAAGTGGTGCATTTTCATTTTTTCAAATCTAGTAGTTATAGTGGGTCCTTTTAGGGAAAAACCAGGAAAATTAAGATTAGATGAAAATTGAGATCAAACATCTCCACAATTTTGGTGGATTGGTTTGGGAGACATGAAGCCCAGGCTTAACAGCATATTACTACTTACAGTTCTTGGACTGTCATAAGGTATACTTGGACCATTTGTATTGAATTCTATTTCTCCACTGCAGTAGAATTGCTTTTTCTTTCAGTTAAAAACACTGTGTTAGTCCAGCCATTCCTCTGCCTGTACTGTTTTTTAAAACACACTACTTCAGCACCGCAGAAGTTTTCATAACATTTCTTTTTGTGTCAACCCACACATTAACAACACACAGGGGAGCACGTGTCTATAATGAAAATCAACTTGCTGCAGCAAAATATTTAAAATTATAAAATTGCTTCCACACAGACTTCATTTAGTATTATCAGTACCTCGAGCCATCCTCTGTTGAAGAACCACAGCAATTCCTGCCAGAGCTCACAGAGATCAGTCTGCCCATTACTCAGGAGCTGACCTCATTCCAATTCTGGCAATAATCAACAGCTGAGTTTACAAGATGGACAAAACCTCAAAACGTTTTTATGAATGTGATGCATTCTATCCTTTCAGAGGAATATTTGGAAAGCAATCATATTAAGGAGTAAACAATACACTGCAGCAGTGGGAAGTAAGTAAATCACACTGCCTTTGTCAGGGCCTTTCCTTTATCATCTCACTGCACTTTGCAGTAAATTGGGAATTTTGTTCTGAGTTTTCATACAGATAGGATGTAACCAGGACATGATGTCACATATAGATGTCAAGCTAGCAAGAGTTTAAGCATATAAAAAAAGAACATAAAAACCTTACAGGCTTTTACAGACGCCCAGCTCATATGGCCACTTCAGAACCCATGTGTGACACTGTTAGGGGCAATTCTGTTCTCCCAGTCCAGGTTTTGGGAGTAGTAAGCTGTTAGTCCCTAGCAAATTTCCTCTTCCTTTGCCTAATCAGCTTCTTTTCTATTTCTTTTATCTTGAAATTCATGGTATTAAACCCAAGCACACTCTCCTCTTCCTTTAACAGCATCCCAAACCTCACCTACAAAAGCTACTGTTCTTCATGGGTTGGTTTGAAATATATTTTAGGCTCTTTGCAGGGAATGCACCTCATCTTTTAGGGTTTTTTATGTCATTGACCAAACCATAGTCAAACTGTTGGTAGGAGACAAAATGTCTAATGCCATGTGGCTTTCCTATTAATTAATTATCTTCATCTTGTACAACAAATAAAATAGGCAGAAAACTGAGTATCTTTACATCTAAAACAAAGACAAAAGGTTAGTTTCTATGAAGCCTTACATGATTTTCTTAAGCAAACTGTTTGATCTGTTTAACTTACTTGAAATACAGAAGTGTTTCCCAGGAAGTTCTAGGTTATTTGAATGAAATGCTCATGATGTAAACTAAGTCTATGCAGGCTACAGGACACCAGTGATCAAAACCCTGAGTACTTCAAATGGTCAAACCCTCTCCTTTCCAGGGTGCCAGAGGCTCTGGGGATGAAGGCACTTTTCCAGTGTGTGTAAAATTACTGCCCTAATTAATATGAAGAAAATAATAAATTATTTGTTCTAATTTTCAGAGAGATTTGAGAGAGGAATGCTAAGAGGCAGCAAATTCAACAGTTTCTGCAGTCATTTCAAGTTCAAAGCCAGCCAGCTCTGTATGGATTAAAGCATGTCAGCTCTAATTCACATATTCCCTGAATTTAAGGTCAGAAAGCCTCTGTGATCTTCTAGTTCACACTAGACTCTAAAGGCTGTAATTGCACTGAAGCAGGTAGGTTAACTGTATGGTACTGTGCCAAGGTATCTTCTGCTATCCCTATTGAATTAGGAGGGTTTGGCAAAGCTGCCAGAGGAAGAATCATCCTACTTTCCCCTGTCCTGCTTGGGTTAGCTAGTTCTTAGAGAAACTGGATATATTTTCTTCATAGGTGACTTGCAGTTTTCATGCTTCATGGTTGCCTGGTACAATTCCTACCTTAGTTAACACTGCTAATTCTCCCAGAAAAAGGCCTAAAGGCCTTCTGAACACTGCTTGGGGTTCATAGGTTTTGTTTATTTATCCTTAAGTATGTACTGTTTGAGGCATTTATCTAAGTATGTCTGGCTTTTCAATTACCAAAGCCAAAAAAGAGCACATGAAAACACCTCCTAAGTACTCAGTGGGACACCAGATTAGCAGAGCTCCTGCCTCAAACCAGAGCTGCACTTTATCAGTTTGGGCTCACAGAGGGCACCAGGGCTGGAGAATGAATCCCAAATCAATCCAGTGTTAGACAGTAGAGCAATCCACACACAAAAAAAGCAACTGTCTGTTCCATATTCCACAAGCAACCATGAAATCTGATTTTACAACTCTTTTATATCACCAGGGTTGGGCATTTCACTATACAGATGTTTTCATTTCATGGCTCATTAGCACTCCTGCTGTTTCATAAGGCACCAATACTATTTTTAAATAGATTTCTCCATATCCTTCAAAATTGGCTTAAAACTTTAAACTACTAATAGATGTGAATGAGCATTAATTTTAAATATCTACACTTTTTTCCTCATGGCAACACTGGAGTATTGGTTTAAAGTTATGTAGTTTCTCATTACAAAAAATAAATAAATACTTAAAATACATATCTAAAAACTATTTTCTCAAGCTGCAACTGAACTTGAAGATGTTTCCTTTCACAGTCACTGCAACATAATTTCCTTATAAGAACTGGAAGTACCAACTCCCTCTGACCATCCAGACTCATGTCCTTGTCTATTGCATGACTTCCCCACCAGTCCCTTCCTTCCTCTCTCAATTTCTTTGTTTTATTAACTAAATTTGACCATTTTTTTCTATAATGTTTTAAAAGAAACAGAGGACTGGGATATGAGTCATTTGGCAAAGAACACAGTACTTAAATTTACTCTCTGTCTTTTATTTCCCAGGCAGGATGTGCAAGCTCTAAACATGAAGCAGGATTAGAAATGCCAACCCAAATGTTGGATTGGCCACCTACTAACACCCACGGTGTCACCCAGCTGCAGAGAGACACCTGAGGTGTCACCCACCTGCTTGCTCCAATGCCACCATGGTGGCCTGCTCAATTAAGTCCCGCTCGATGAAGCTCCTGAAGTCCTCGCTGTACACGCTCAGGTCTGGCAGCTGGAATGTGTAGATGGGCATCTCCAAAGGGAACTGCTCATTGCTGCAGTCGTTTGCTACATGTGAGCGAGCAAGGGAGACTATGGCTGAGCTGGCATGGGAAATCCCTCTGGAGAGACGCTTTTCTGTCGAGAAACCAAAGAGCAGTTACAGCCTGTACCACTGCCCAAAAGGCCAGCAATGCCAAGGCTGGTCAATGACTTTCATTTCACTAGGAATTTGTTCCACATCCTGTTTGCTACCTTTTTCAGGTTATTTCCCTACTGTGAAAGATTGCTTGTTCCTATTACAGGTCCCTTTGGCAAGCCAGAGGAACTTGACTCTCCTTCTAGCAAAAAAGACCAGCAGTAAAAGTAACAAAATATGAAAGATAAATATTCCTATAAAATTTTTCCTTGCTCTATCTTAACCCTAACCCTATCTTAAGTTTTCAAGGATTCATTGGAAGAAAAATTTATTGACAGACAGATGAAAATCAGTTAATGTTTTGAATTCCTAATTAAAGCTTACTTTAACATAACTTATGACTAATAGTGTTTTTAAGACATCTCAAACTGACTAATGGTTATTTAAAATTAACTTTCTTGCAGTTTGTGAACTTTTATTTCTCTAATGGATCAAAGTCTTTCTAATTCTGAGAGTTAAATTGCACTCCCTAAATTATCCTAAATGGAGGGAGAAGGTAGAAGATTTGATTTTGCATTTGTTTCTTCTCCCTGTACATCTTGGCTAAAACCCCTAAGCAGGGACACTGGAGTGCAGGGCAGCACCCCCATGTGACATCCTCTGCTGCCACTCCATCACCCCTCCCAGCACAGCCCAGCCCTCCCCTGCTGGCTGCATTCTCCACTTCTTTCTACAAACCAAGGTGCTCCTTTCCCTTCTCTGCTCCTCCCTGAACACCCCTAGGTTCACCTGTCAGTCAGAGGTGGCGCTCTGACCAGGAGATCCTCAGCTACACACTGAGTTGGCAGCCAAATTCCTGTCAGTCCATGTGGTCAAAGCCAGACGTGCCTCACACTACCTACTAAACATCAGATGGACATTTCAGTGCAAACTGTATCCCAAAGAGGCTGAAGGGACATGGTTTGATCATCTGTGCTGCTCTTCCTCCTTGTATTTGTATTCAGTGCTTTAAGGAATCTTAAGAAGCACCACAGTTCCTTTTCTTCTGATGGAAGTCAGCGATTTTTAGAAAGCTTTACTGAAACTCCTAAGTACTGATGCTATTTCCTGTTTAATACAAGGGAAGAGCCAGCAGGGGAAGGGAAACCCTTCTGTTCCTTTTAATGGCTGCACAGAAAGACATCACCAGGCTACTGCTCTACCTGCCTACATGACAAGCTGTCAGACCTGCAGATTCATTTTGGTGCAAACCACAGCTTCTTGAGAAATTCATAGAAAAAAATTGCAACCCAATAGTCAGAGAGAGAGAGATCTGAAATAAAACCCATAAGAGGTTGCAAACAAAAAAGCAAATTCTAATGCTGATCATCTTGTACTGGAAATTAAGTGTTAGAGGTAGCTGACTAATTTTTCTTAAGGTTTCAATTTCTATTCAGCAGGGGATAGGAGGCAGTTTCTGTGAAACTATAAAAGAATGACATTTTAAAGCTGAAAGTTATTCATAGCCTGCATACACCCTATTCACACACTGTGAGTAAGAATGCAAAGAGTGAAATACAGATTTTTAAACCTTTTTGTTTGTTTGTTTCAATAAGCATAGAAACCTATATACAAGAGTAGTCTGTGACACCCTCTAATTAACTCCTTTCACGAGTACCACAGGACTGCTTGGGACAACATATTTTAATCACCCATTAAAAAAAAACAACTTGCAGAACTGAGGCAGAGCTCACAACCACCAAAACATGAAAAATAGGGTCTAGCAGCAGCTCGGAGCCCCGTGACAATGACACAGCTCACACGCTGCTGGCACATGGCCTCCCACTCTCTGCAAGAGTGGGAGCCAAGCACACTCCCAAGCAGACAGGTTGGGGACCCACCTGTCCCCTGAAACCCCGCAGAGGAGCTCCTACCTTGGGCGATGTCATCCTGCCTTTGCAGGCAGGGCCTCTCAGCCTTGGTCACCTGGGGAGGCTGCTCTGGCTCCTGCTGCTTGTAGAACCTGCCCTCGTTGAACACCTGGGGCAGGTTGGCCGTGTGCACCTGCCGCAGCTGCTCATAGTCATTCAAAGCCGCTGTCAGGTCCCAGTTCTTGCCTGCAAAACAGCAAAGGAACCCTCAGCTCACCTCTGTCTGGGGAGCAGCCACCCCCACCACCCTCCTGGGACACCCCCCAGCCTGTGGCATCCCAACACAGTAACACTGTGGGAAGAAGTGTCAAAGCCAGCTACCATCCACTGCTCTCCTCTCATCCAAAACCCAAAATCTATGACACCGCATCACAGGAGTGATCAAGGACTTTCCTTGCTCAGATTCCAATCAAATGGCTCCAGAAATTAGCAGTTTAGGATGAACTCTAAATCCCACTGAGAGGGAGCAATAACTTGTAATTGTGTGGTTGTATTAATAAAAAATAATAATTAGAAGCAATGATGGAAAGATAAGAGTGCTAGTGTCATAGCCCAAAAGAGTGAGAAACTTTCTTATCTTTCATTAGCAGAACAGCTGAAATGCAAACAAAAAATATTTTAGGTCCCTTTATCTCATACATGAGAGAGAACTTGCTCTCTTAGAGATTTAAAAAGCCTTTTAGAAAGCAGGTAATAAAGGACAGTGCTCTGTAACAAAACCTGCAGTGAGAGACTCAGCCAGTGTGGTTCCATGTCTGTGAGAGCTACCTGTGGAACCTGTCAGCACAGAATCCTCTAAAGGATTTGCTTCCATCTTCCACTTCAGCATATTGCTCTGACCAGTAACCACAGAATGAAGGCCAATATCCAGAGATGCACAAGTCTGTTTAGTACAGCTGGTGAAACAGGACTTTTCATTTTCAAAAAAACATGAAAAACAGACTGAGATGTCTGCCTGCTATTTTCAAAATAATCCTGCTAAGTTAAGATACAGAGATGTCTACCATTCTCCAAGTACTTGTTTCTAACTGGAAAATTTAAAATATTGAATAACAAGAGAGACCCTACAAGTTACATGAGACTTTCAGAGCATTCCACAAGCACTTTTCCTGGCAATTCAAAAGTAACCTGATTCTGACTAATACATGATTTATGACACCATAGAAGGTTGTCATTTTATGTACTTTGAGAAGCTACATTACCTGAGTAGCAGTTAAAGGTAACTTACTTGCTTACACCAAGGAGATAAGCTAAATATAGTACAAAGCAGTTTTAAACAGATAGAAGAAAGCCTTTTACTGTTACAGTTGTATCTGTGAAGAACAAAAACCTAACCAAAGAAGGAAAAAAATAGCACAAACAGCTGGTACCTACAGGGTTGAGCTAAACTACCTTGGGTTTTGAAGTGCTAACAAAATTCTGAAAGGAGAATTGGTATCACTGAGCAAGAATGTTATCTAGCTTCTGAGCAGACTATAATATAAACCACCACGTGAGCCACACATAATTGCTCTGTAATGCTGTAATTGCCTATTAGAAAGTCTGTAGGACAAAATGTAAATTCAGTGCAAATTGTCAGAGATACTGGAACAAGAACTTCAGCTACTGCCAGCATTTGTTCACCAAAAAGCCCACGTAGACTGAATGGCTGTAATCCAGTCAGGGCTCTGCTCTACACACTTTACACACATCCCAAGCAAGTTACACAACCCAAACACAGCCATAAATGCATTCCCAAATCCAATCAGTGTTTGGAGTAAGAACTGCTTTTCTTTGGTGCTGGTTTTAAGAGGCACTTCACAGACATTTTTAAATTCTTCTTCTCAACCATAAAAACAATAAAATAAATTAAAGCAAAAAAAAGTGAAGGTGACAATATGTATAATTCTAGGAAATGTAGCTTTAAACAAAACATTATTATTCCAGTATTGGCAATGCTACAAACCCAGGGCTATGTGACCCCCAGTAACATCCTGGATTCATTGAGTTCAGATCCCTGAGTACCAGACCTGTAGCAGTGGAACACAAACAGCATTTCTCAGGGTATTCCCTGCAGTTCCCTTGCTCAAGATTTTTTCATGTTTAAATTCTGAAGCTGACAAAAATCCCAGTGCATGTGCTTGAAGTGGCTGCTGTGTGACAGGGCTTTGACGTATGTAAGAGGAAAGCAGAAAATGAACAGGCCCACAGAAATCCCACTGGCCTCAGTTTTAAGCCAAATGCAATCATCTTATATAAAAGTTCTGTCATAAAAATTACATTGAGCCTTCAGAAAGCAGGCTCAGAGTGTGTTGCATTTAAAACTGGATTGCACAGTGGCTCTTGAGTTACATTCCATAGTACATTGTAGCAACTGAACTTCTAATACAGACTTGAAACCTTACAAAAATTAAAATTTCAATCCCTAACACAGAAATATTTGATTTTCCAGTCTCTTCATATCCCTGGAGTTCTCCCCATCTCCTGAACAGAAGCACCAATTCAGTACCAAAGCCCTTAACTTCAGAAAACCGACACAGGAAATTATTATTGGACTCACTTTCCCTAAATTTGCTGCAGCCTCCAAGCATTGAAATGCAAGAAAAACATTCAACCAAATTAAAGAACATATTCAGCACCTTTCCATCCCCACGAAATAGTGTTTTTGAAAATTAGCCACCCTCAATAACCAGCATAAGTGTTCCCAGCTACCCTCTCCACTGGAAAGATGGGAGGTTTCCCCCTTTGCCCCTCCCCGTTTGGTCTACACTTTCACAAGTAAATACAAACAAAAAATGTCTTGTTTTCCCCACCTCCCATAAAAAAAAAAAAAAGAGGAGAATTCATCAGTTTGGGAGAATTAGCAAAGAAAAATACTAAGTGAAAGTAAAGGAAACTGGAGGCAGCAAAGACAAAGAGAGAAAAGAAAGAGAGAACAAAACGAAGGGTTTTATGAAAGACTCTGAGAGAAGAAACACAAATAGGTACAAAAATTTAATGCAGTGCAAAATAAATTTTAAAAATTTAACAAATCTAATAAAAAATATGATGTAATTTGGGCCACAGGAATAGACTGCAGAAACAAGAGGCAAGCTGGGAACCAATCAGGAAAATTATTAAATTCATAAATGTCCAGAATAGATGATCTGAACAAGGATTTCTATCAGTGTGACAAGTAGGTGAGAAAGTTTCAGCTGCAAGGTACTGAGGAAATTAGTGGGGCTTGTGGTTGTGGAGATTAACAGAACTAACACTGCCTATCTCTCCTCCTTTAAACATTGCATACTAAAAGCTTTTAAATTTCTAAAACTGTATCTTATTACATCACAAACCAAGTTTTGAGAGACAAAAACCCCCTGAGTTATGCTGGGTTGGAAATTACAAAAAAAATTCATATAATATGGAAAACAAACACATCCTCCCACCCAAAGCTTACAGGGCAGGTCCCTCCACCCAGTCCTGCCCCTTGTCCAACAAGTGGCATTGGCCCCCTGGTTAGGGACAGACTGCAGAGTCCCTCTGGTCCCTAGAAAAAGGAAAGAGGAAGTCTTCTCCTAAGTTCTGTTTGTGTGTGTCTCCCATGTTCTTCTCTGACATCTCGCAGACCCTGCTCCTCACACAACTCCCTTCTCTGTCACATCTTTTCTTTGCCATCTCCTGCACAGGCACCCAAGAGAAAGGGCCAGTCCTTCCTACCCCCACAGAGCTTATGCCTGAAGGACAAGTAACAGGCAAATAATTTATTTTTCATAATTTCATCAATTAATTTAAGTCAAGTAAAAGCTTTGGTTGTAATTTGACAGACAAAACCAACACAAGACTATTTCTTAGATTATCTGCTATTTTCATTTCACTGTTACTTATCTGATGCACTCTGTTCACTGACTGCTTCTTTGTTTATATGACATATTATTGTATTTAAAAAGGCATTTCAGAGGCATAACAACATTATTTCAGTGCATACAATCACATCGGATAAGCCACTGGCAGCTCTGGATCAGTAACAATTTGATTGCCCCAAACCAGCACCAACACAGCAGATTTGCAGGAAAGCCTTCCAGTTTCAAATGGCCACAGAACATCAGTCAGCAAAAAAGCTGGAGAAGCACAAAGTTGGTTAGAAAACACAGGTAGTGAAATCATTATCGGGGTGCTGGAACCAAATCAACTCACTGACTGAACAGAGAGAACACTCTTACTGAGCAACTGCCTCCTGAACAGCTAATGTGCTATGTGACTCAGCAGGTGTGCAATTTAACAACACTCAAAGGTCTCTGCTTTGAAACCAAGTCCTTCTTGTTTGGAGGAAAAACAACAAAACCCTTTTTTTTTTTCTTTTTTTTTTTTTAAAAAAAAAAAAAGTGCAGCTGAGTAAGGAATAGAAGATACACTGTGGCTGAAGGCTGGTACTGATGTGTTTGTGTCAGAGATAGCAGACACCTACATAAAAGGGAAATTCAAAAATAAACACAGCTACACTGTGAAGTTTCTGCCCTAAATAATGGTTCCTTGAATAACAACAGGAGGCATCATGAGCCTGAAGAACAAGCAAAGATTTAGATAAAACAATATATGGTTTAAGTAGCCACTTACCCTCACACTAGATTAGCAGAGGGTTAACAAACAAGGTGCTAAAGAACAGCACAACTAGGATTCACCTTAGAAGCATTGATAAAATCATAGACTCAAAGAATGGTTTAGGTTAGAAGGGACCTCAAACATCATTTCATTCCAACCCCCTGCTATGGGCAGGGGCACCTTCCACTGTTGCAAACTGCTCCAAGCCTCATCCAACCCAGCCTGGGACTGCTGGTACTGATGTGTTTGTGTCAGAGATAGCAGACACCTACATAAAAGGGAAATTCAAAAATAAACACAGCTACACTGTGAAGTTTCTGCCCTAAATAATGGTTCCTTGAATAACAACAGGAGGCATCATGAGCCTGAAGAACAAGCAAAGATTTAGATAAAACAATATATGGTTTAAGTAGCCACTTACCCTCACACTAGATTAGCAGAGGGTTAACAAACAAGGTGCTAAAGAACAGCACAACTAGGATTCACCTTAGAAGCATTGATAAAATCATAGACTCAAAGAATGGTTTAGGTTGGAAGGGACCTCAAACATCATTTAATTCCAACCCCCTGCTATGGGCAGGGGTACCTTCCACTGTTCCAAACTGCTCCAAGCCTCATCCAACCCGGCC